ACCCTAATTTTTCACTTGAAGTAGACAGGCAACTCACTGAACCTATTGATACTGTTCAACTGAACTCGGTCGCTGAGGGACACTCACAACCACCCTCAGAAAGTCAAGAGGACCGCACAATCGATTGCCTACTACCAGTGGTCTTGCATCCATGGGGCCTGTTACCAATCAGCTGGTTATGACTGTAAGATTCAAACTACGGTTTGGATAGATGAATAGCCGTCCAGGTACGTTAGACACGCACCCTTGCCCGTCAAAATCAAAACAAGTAATTGGGTAAATAGCGGTTCTATAATTCATCATAAATTTAAATGTAAATCGTTACCTAAACAAATATTACCACCCGGCTATTCAACCAATAATTGTTCAATCAATAAATCTAAATTACAATAAATAAAGGAGTTGATGAAAGATGAGGGAAAATTACCAGTCACAACAAATGAACGTTATTCTATCCTGACTGGATAGAACAAACACAAAAGGAGGAGCAAATCAATATGGCTACCGCCAAGAACAAGTGTCAAGTAAAACAACAGAGATGCAGTTCGGGAAGAAACACAAACTTAGGGAATACGTAAGAAAAAACAAAAACTATAATAAAAAATGCAAGTATTAACAATTCAAATGTAATCAAAAGACAACAATGTACAACTAAGGGGATCAACAGGAACAAAGTATAAGTATATACATGGAGGGATTTTCACCAACACACAAAACATTCAAAATGGATCTTACAATGACAACACAAAATAACATCAGCACCAAGTTTTATTCCTGTTTGTTCTTTGTTAACTTTTTACTTTATACACTTCTTCATGCTTATACTCTGATTGGCAAACTATACTTTATACTATAGTCAATTAAAGCACTGCATCGATGCCTTACCCACAGTCCATAGCTTGTAACTGCCTGATAAGCTTGTAAAATGGTACTTATAAAAATAGTGCTTTCCAACAGGATGTGAAACACAGAGGATTGCGTGAGGTATGACATATATACAAAAATAAGCTTAAATGAGCCTAACATCACAAAAGGAGGGAGGGTGGATTTACTGACCAGCGAGCATTGATGGTGAGGGCGATAACTTCAACCCACCCGTGTTTGTGGGGGCAGAACATTTTGTATGTATCAGGCTCTTTATGACTGAGAATAAGTCAATCAATCTGTGATATAGATTGTTTTCCTACGCCCACCACTCAGGCTTACGTTTCCAATATTATGCTGGATTAGCTATCCTACTGAGACAACCCATAGCATGCTAACTCGGACTTCTACACTAGGATTGTGTGGCTGGCATCGGATGGACAAAAAAAGAAAAGGAAGAAAAAATTAGACAATGAAAGATATAGTCATTAGTACTCTTAACACTTCACCTTCTCTATGCACACTCCCTTCTAATAAACCACTTTCCTTGTACCACTCATGACTTCCCTTCCTTCATGTGAGCTTACTTCAACTTGTTAAACATTACAACTCATTGTTCTTTATTAATACATTCTCTTATATAGAGCGTCTGACTTCATTTCACTCTAACAAGAGATAATATGAATTTAATCTAATTTATTATGCCTCTCTGTTTGACTACAAAGTGTTAAGCAACGTTTGGCGTTCGTAACCAAGTGCATTGTTGCTCTTCTGTTTCTATTTTATTTCTTCAGAGTCTTGCTCTGAGGGCACAGCTATGGAACTTCTGACGTCTGGAACAAACTTGACATACGCGTCTCCTCTGGTCATGGTTTACAGCAAGCGCTCTACGAGTCTACTTTACCACAACTACAAACTTAATAAGTTGGGGCGCATGCTGTGAGCCAACAAATGTTGTAATTTGTAGATCATGTCTATAAAAATGGCGTGTACCTGCTCATGCATATATAGATTATTATTATTAGATGGCAGTTGCAACTCTAGAAGCATTTCGTGCCAACAGACGTTGGTTACCAACCGTAATCCATATGCACCTGGGTTGGCCACATGACGCTAGGATAAAGCACAAAGGCAAGTCGGAGCTGACCATTCCACTTGTGGACTTTCTTGATCATAAAAAACTTGTAAAGGACAGGGCCTTCCAACTCGGGAAACCTGATATAGGTAGGGTACCTGTCTATTCACGTAAGGCTCATACAGACAAACAGGAAGAAGCTCACACGTTTCAAATTGAAGGCATAAACTACTTATACACGAGCGCCATGAGTTTACCAAATAAAATGGATGAGCTACGTGAAATTAGCAATGTTAATAAGGCTCATCTGACAGGAATATCTGAAACTTGGATATCTTCTCATTTTACGGACCAGGAGCCAGCAATACCTGGGATGTCTTTGTTTCGCAACGACAGAAAAACAGGAGTTGAAGGTGGAGTGCCCGTATACATACGATCCTGCCTGGAGGTACACCAAGTTCGATGTACCTAGTCGGGATCATATACAGGAAGCCCACTGCCGACATCGAGTATGACAGTCGTATGCTGGAAGGACTATCCCGCTCTACTCGTCTCGGTTTCACTCATATCCTGATTCTGGGGGACTTCGATCTCCCTAGAGTCGATTTCGCGGGACACACGTATATTGGAGGTGAAAACTCAACTGAAGCTCTGTTCTTCAACCTCATTGAGAATCTGGGATTATTCGAAAATGTGAAGTCGGCAACTCGTTGGAGAAACAGTCAGATACCATCGCGCTTAGACTAGGTATTTACAAACGAAGAATTTTAAGGTGACAACCTCTCAAACCTGGCTCCCCTGAGAATAGCGATCACGCTGTTATAGCTTTTAGTTTTGTCAGCATAACTGAGCCAAGATATTCCATCAACAACAGGCGCTGGGATTTCAAACGGTTGAATTTTTCAGCTCTACAGGACTATCTACAACAGGTGGATTGGGATGTTCACCCTCAACTTGATGTGAATGCTCATTGGAACTTCTTACTGCACACACTCTTATGTGCTACAGAGCGGTCAGTTCCTCAAACGGTCCCCAAAAGCTACAAGCAACCTAAAATCATCAAGAACCGCACTATTCGTTTGCCAACCCGCAAAAGGCACTGTTGGGCAGAATAGAAACGAACTGACAACAACGGCGCGTACAGGCAATACAAACATATAAGGAACATATACACGAAGGCTAAGAGAGAAGATAAGCTTCAGTACCAGATAAAACTTATGGATAAATTTGTCTCTAATCCGGAAAGCTTATTGCGTTACGCAGCCTCTCTTCGTCAGGCCGAAACCGGAGTTTCCCAACTGCTAGGTCCTAATGGCCTGATCAATAACGACGGTGACACTGCCGACCTTTTGGCTGGACAATACTCTCGGACATTTCAACCGACCCACATAAACTATACTGAGGACACCTTCATTTGCAACTGCACAGGACTTTCCGTAAAGAACCTGAGCGCTGGCTTGGTGTTCCGGAAACTGCAGCACCTAAGGAACGCCACTTCTTCTGGCCCAGATATGATTCATTCTGTTATACTGAGGGAAGCAGCCTCAATCCTGGCGACACTGCCTAGCGTGATGTTCTCACACTCGCTAGGCCGAGGCAAACTACCGGAAATTTGGGAGCTGGCTCACATCACACCAATTTTTAAAGGAGGTCGACGCAATGAACCTTCAAGTTATCGGCCGGTGGCTCTTCTCTCTATACCTTCGAAAATCATGTAGTCCCTGATATGTGATGGTATACGTGATTATTTACTGTCTTAAGTTTCTTCTCACCCCAACAGCATGGTTTCAGCAAGGATTACTCTTGTATAACCAACCTGCTGACTGCGGGGGGCAGATGGAAAAGCATCCTCGATCGCAAGGGGAAGGTTGATATCGTTGACCTTGAATTGTCAAAAGCTTTTGATAGGGTTAACCATATATGTCTTATCAATAAGCTCAAACGATTGGGCATCAGACCACCTCTAATCGATTGGCTCATTCATATCTGAAAACCGACATTTTAGGGTCAGGGTTAACTTCACTTTATCTCAGGCTATGGAATGTCCTAGTGGGGTCTCCTAGAGCTCAGTACTAGGACCTCTTCTCTTGTTGATTTATATAAACCATCTTCCACAACAAGTATCGTCAGACACTACTTTTTGCTGATGACGTGAAACTTTGGAGAGAGATACGCAACCAAGACGATATGAAGGCAGTTCAGGAGGATCTGACTCGACTTTAAAGTTGGGCAGACGATAACGGACTTTAACACTTCAAAGTGTAAAGTAGTCCATCTGCGACATGTTGCAGACTATCGTTACAACTTAGGAAACTTCTTTCTAGCAGTATCCCAAGTCGAAAAATATTTAGGAGTCCTGGTACCCTACGATTTAAAGTCTTACGCTAACTGTGACAAAAATGCCTTTAGAGCAAACCTTGCACTGGTAACATTGAAGTGCATTTTTGGCCAGTTTGACGGAAGAACTTTCCGCATAATCTTCAACAGTTTTATTCGTCTCCACTTAGAGTACGGAAACATAATATTTCCTCCCTCACTCCAAACGGATAAGGACACTCTTGAGCGTATCCAACGGCGAGCCACGAAATCAGTCCGGGGACTTAAATTCAAACCTTATGAAGAGCGCCTCCAATCATTTAATCTTTACCCATTAGAGCATAGGCGACTTAATGGTGACCTTCTAATGGATTACAGTACCCTTAACACTTCTGGACATCCCCTTAAACACCTACTTAATCTTAGTTTCAACAGTAATCTAAGGGGTAACATCTAGAAATTGGAGACACAACATAGCATAACGGACTGTACACACAACTTCTACTCCTTAAGAGTTGTGAAATGCTGGAATTCGCTACAGACTGAACTAGCTTAAGCGACTTTCCAGGAGTTTTTTATGAGGAAACTTGACCTATGCTTAAGGACTTAGGATAACATCTTATTATGATTTACCAATTTCTTTTTTCCCTCTATTATCGATAACATACCTAGGTTCCTGCCTGTAGGTACTGGGCATCCACTTCTACTAGACACGGTAGCACGTTAAGCGAAAGCTTCTTCCATTCCGTCCACAACCATTTGAACCATTTGTTACTCCAGGATCATTCTCACCATTAAAAACTGGCTTGTTTTACCATTCCGTTTCAGAACAAGCCTAAAAAACTCATACATTCCCACTGTCAATGCTACTCCTCTATCACCCAGACACAGACCCCAAGAAACCATTAGTTTATGAACTTTTTCTAAACAGGGATTGAGGTTTGAAGTTTATGATCGAGCGCGTTCGTATAGTTGATTCGTTACTTTCAAACTGATGGCGATTAGGAGGAGAGCGGATGTCTTGGATCCAGACTTTACTGTTATAAGACGACAAATATCAAAACTAATGCAATATAGCATTCACGATTGTAAAAGCTTTCTCTTGATGTTAAAATCATTGTTTCCGAGTTCAATCAAGTTAGAAGTAAACGTCTAATAATGTATCACACTTAGATAATTGAGTATGAACTTATGCAGGAGTATGGAGACGCTACTTTGGCTGCTGAAATTCTGTGTCGTCTGTAATCATGTTCTATATCATATTAATCATGTAGGTATGAAACTCAAAGGCATCTTGATATGACACAGATCGAACTTCTTAGCAAAATAGTTAAGGATCCTACTGATAAAGTGTGTTGTGGTAAGTTTGTTTGCATATTTAACTCCTTTCACAGATATATTCTCGCACACCAACCCCTCGCTACAGAAGGATTTGACATTATCTTACTTCAACCAGATGTCCGATGAGCTGGGAAGAGCGGAAAGCATTATTTTTCTACTGAATCTTAAAGACGTAGTCTTTTACCCCCAGGTTCTACCCGTACTTTTGGCACTGGTTTACCAAAGCCTCATAGACGGTGAGCTCTCCATGCATAAGAGTAACCGAGTCTCAACCAGCAGTGGTATAATGTGCCATTCATCACCCGCAGATAACTATGGATCGTTAATAAAGTAACTGGTTCAATGCATAGCTTAGGTTTCAGAAATGAGAATGTTGACGAGGGTGAAGAGGGAGAGGTAATGGGATGTGATGACGAGGACGAGTTTGCGGATGAACTTGACAATCCAACTCCCGAGATCGGAGATAATCCTTGGACTGATATATCTAGTTCAGTCCTCAATGTTTATCGTTTCAAGATAACTTATGAATTGCTTCCACTAGCGTACAAGGTAATCTCTATTAAAGAAATATTTGCTTTCTAGGCTAGTTCTTCCTCGAAAATGGATAAAAATGTCATCTACAAGATTTCTGTAACTTCAATCAATTTTCTGGTTACATACATAACACATGTCCCAGCAAACCCATCTATCGAAGGATTAGAAAAAAACGAGCTATTAGCCAAGAAGGATCCGAAAAATTACATAACAGACTGTTTAAAAATGATAGGGCATTTATTACAATGGCCTATCGCTACGTTCGACTTTACATCTAGTAAAACTGCATCCTATCTTGTTCAGCAGACTAGAAATTTGTTTCGGGAGGCCAAATCTTCATTTGATGGTGTGTCAACAAAAAAAGACTCGCGATCTGGTCGTAAACTGTCTTCGTTCTCTTTAAGTCATAAGTCTCATGCCATAGTTTTTCAGGCTCTGTGTATGTTTTGGTACACATTTGTTGATTTAAGTGCAGCTTATTTGCACAAAGTTCACACCAGGATATTTGACGGTAGTGTAAAAAATAGCACTTCACCTAGAGTTTTGTACTTGCCTATCAACCTAGATATTCTATTCAACTCAACTTCTCATACAAATGTTTCTTTTGAAAATGAAGAGATGATTCTCTTAAAGCACATACATGAAGTCTGGAGTCTTCGTGAATATACTTCTGCCTCATACTCATTTGGCAGCAAGGAAATAGATTCGTTGGATAATGTCCATCCTCACTCAAATAATTCATCCGAATTCAACCAAGAAACACTGTTTGAGCAAATTATTCGTTTCCACTTTGCCATTAGTGGCCTGAATAATAATTCGCAGGAAATAATATGGGCTTGTAATTTTGTGAAAAAACTCAGTGACCAGTTGAAGTCAGTTTCTCTTACATCCTCTAACTATAACTTATATAATAGTGCAGAACTTAAGCTTATATCCTGGGTTCTTCAGATGCTTTTGTTATCTCATGACCATGATAAATGTAAGGTCGTGGTGAAGTCAGAAGCTTGTAATGGGTTGTGGGGTCAATTCCTTCAAGATTTCAAATCGCTGTCATTACTTTTTAACCAGAGTAAAAATGAGAAGATTTGCATCCAAAACATTTGTCCTCTCGTACCATTCACTCGTCAGTGTATAGTTTTTATTGTGTCAAAAACATTAGCAGGCTACCTTTGTACTATTTCTCGACGAACGACAAACCGGACTCATGCTGTCGATTCCGCTTGCTTGGCATGTATACTTTGTCAAGTCGATGGAAAGTTTGGTGATATTTCTCATCCGGCCGCTCAGTGGCCATCTCTGTCCCCATACCTCTCGGAGGTAATACATACTCATTGGGTTGATATACGAGATCGTTTTTTAAAGTGGATCATATCTCCCCATATATTCATTTTCGACGTTGACCTGTTGAACACTATTTTCCGATTGGAATCCAACGCTGGGACAGGTAGTGATTGGTAAGTTGGTTATTCGTTCCCCATATTTTAGGTATCACAATAACAATTTTTTTGGCACCATGACCATTAAATTTCCCGGTTATTACGAATTTATGTAATCAATTTGCAGTCATTCATATAATATCTTTTTTCTTCATACGTATTGGGTGATGAATTTTTTCCCTTTTATTCAAAATCAATAAATCGATCGGCTCTCGAAGTTTATCAGGTTTTTGAGTCCTGAAAAGCTTTATTGTTCCATATGTTCTTTAACTATAGAAATGCTTTGCCAATCTTCGCCTTTACGTCTGTATCAGATCCTCTACGTTCATCGATGATGCTGTCTGGGTACGTGAAAGTTCCCACCTCTTCCAGAGTTTCTCCATCAAGTGTGGTTGGTTGGGTGTTCTTGTTGTATTTGAGGATTTTTTTTTTTCCTTGTGTATGTTGAAGCGTACTGATGCAGAGACGGCTGCTACACTAGTTGTCTTCATCTGCGTTAGTTGGTGTGTATGTGATAGAAGGTTCAGGTGATGCTCTATGAAGTCGAAATCGTCTAGTTGCATCCAACCTGTCTATTGTATTCTGTGCTTGCGCTCAGATGTGGAGGTCATCATAATCCAGTCAACCACCAGAAGAAAGAGAAAGGGTAGGAGTAAACAGCTATATCTGACACTGGTCCTCACTTAGAATGCGTTTGTCAGCTATCCTCCTTGCGCGACTTTGCAGTGTAATCCGTCATATGAATTCCGTATGATGGTGACGATCTCCTTAGGTACTCCATAATGTCGGAGAAGTTTCCATTATAATCTATTCACACTGTCAGCTGCCTTCTCATAGTCAAGGAAGTTGATGTATAGTGACGATTTCCGTTCAATTGTTTGTTCAACGATGAACTGTAGTGTTCCGACTTAAGTCACTGCACGACCGAACCTCACGGAATACGGCCTGTCAATCTCGAATATGGGCGTCTACTGGATCTTCTACGCGGTTCAACATCACTTTTGAAAACTTTTCCTGGTACTGACCATAGTGTGATGCCTCTGTAGTTCTCACATTTGTTCAGATCTTCCTTTGGAATCTTGATGTGTCATTCTTCTCAGTCTTACGTCTTTTGCTCTTCCCAAGTGTTTCTGGATAGAACGTGGAGCATGTTTGCAGTTACTTCTGTCTGTGATTTCAGTGCTTTAGTTATTATGTTATCAGGTCCTGCCTCCCCATGCTCATAGTCACGCGCATTTCTTCAATCGTTGGTAGGGTAGAAGTTATGAGAAGATCTTAAGTTGCTGCTTCGATGTCCGATGACCTTCTGAATTTTTTAGTTGTACAAATATCTATCTGGTCCTCTGTTGTGTGGTCCGGTGAGGCCCATGTAGCTTTGTGTATGCATTTGTTTGGGAAAATTGTGCCACCTATAATCATTTTGTCGAATGCATATAAATTTGCAAAACTTTCACCATTCTCGTTCCTCGCAGTCCATATCGTCCCATGATGTCTTCATACCCTGTGTTATACATTCTGGATTTGGCGTGTAGATCTTCCATCAGGATGGTGAGTTTCTTTCCTAAACACTTCTCTATAATCGATTGTAGCTTCTTGTGGAACTGATCTTTATCATCATTTCTGTCTTTGGTGGGCGCACAGCACTTGATAATATTCATTGTAATTCCCTCGTTTGTTTTGAATGATGCTTTGATAATTCTGGATCCATGAAATTCCCATTCTATAAGTATTTTCCATTCTTTTTTGAACAACATCAGAGCAACTTGTGTGTGCGAAGCATTTTCTTTATGACCAGTGTACAGCATCATCCCCTTCGAATATAACCTTTTCTGTCCATCTTGGGTCCAATGGTTTTGCTGATTTCAAGCACTGTCAAGTCGTATCTCCTCATTTCCGTTGCTATTTGACTGGTCATCACGGTCTCCCACATTGTCCAGACGTTCCATGTACCTCCAAAAATTGCTGTGTTTGTTAAAAGGGACATCGGCCTCGTGATTTCCTAAGAATCTCAAATTTCACCATGAGGCGTCATAATATTTCTGAATGAAGATCCTTCAACTCGGTGGGGAAAGTTTAAGTGTTTTAATTTGTTTATTCTGGTTAGCGTATTTTTAGCAAGGTTGTTTTCTATGGGATGGGAGAGCTGACCCCATGCTCAATTCTCCTCCTCCATCTGGTCTTGGTACCGGGAGTAATTCCAGAACGGCTACAGGCGGAGTTACCTTAATGCATACCAAGCAGCAACACACCTAAAACCCGTCTTATCCTGAATAAGTTCAAAGCGGCAAACTATTTAATCATACTTGGAAATTCCGCTTAGGAGTATAGGATTTTCCCTAAGCCGCTTAGATTGTTTAATCAAAATCTTGAAGTAATTACCTTCCGTCGCTAAAAGGTTATATGTTGTGCAAAACAGGCATTCTAGTTGCGTTAACTTTTTGAGATGTTACTCCAGTTAATGAATATGGCGTGACACAGAGTTGGACCGAAAAACAATGTCATATATGTGTCCTGCTGCTTAATATGCGTATCATCGATTTTGCGGAAACTGATCGGTAATCAACTTATTACATCATTCATTGATAAAGATAGGCCACCGTACCCGAATCTCCTCAAAAAATAACCCATCAGGTTACATTGCTTACCGTTTCTTCAGGTAAGGTCAACTCAGATACGTGCTAGCACGGACGTGATCGCGGTTCAGATTTGTGCTTGAGAAAAACCAGCAGTATTTTATCGCTCTTCTACACTAACTGGTAGCAATATGGTTTACCTGTGTTCATCATTTAGTGTCGAGAGTCGGAAGGTCGGATTTTTTCTATATTTCGGGTTGAGATAAGCTAGGAATAAACAATCATTTAATCATAGTCGTAGCAGACAATAATTATTACTTGGGACAGTTCCAAAAGTCCTTCCGAACTGACGTATTTTATCTTGAACGATAAAGTCCATTGAATCTACTATGTCTGTATTTCTAGCCTTTCTAAGGAAGCCAAAAGGCTTTCTGAAAACCATCGTTCACTTTTGGAATGCCATAATTATAAAGAAGTAGAGGGATGTATCCTATCCTTTGGTGGATTTACCGTCCTATTTAATCGTACAGCTCAAAAGCAAATATCTGCTAAGGTCTAGTTTATGGGTCCGTATTTTGTTTCTGAACTTAATGCTATACATACCGTAGTAAGGCCACGAAAGTTTGCAGTCAAGTTCGTGAGTGCACTTGGAGTGGATCTCTCTGACTTTACATTTCGGCTAGGTAACGCCAAGTGAATGACCACACTTGGATCTTTCATGCAAGTTTCGTGGATAGCAACTGTTAGTAATGCGCAACTCTAGAGTGTTGTTTGATGAATTTTGTTCAATCATATATGATTCAAATGATAATCGACCCAATATATAGTTTGAATCTTGGAAACCAGGTTTAATATTTCGTGAACTCGTATAGTTAACACCACTAGCGCGTTTATCGAGTTAAAGAAAAGTGATTGATAGTGGGAATAAAAGAAATACTAGGAGGTGAGATAGGGATTTAATTATAGACAAAGTGTGTTGATAGTCGTCACTTTCCAGGTACATAAACCACGAAGGTTTGCTTCTTGAAGGTCCTGTAAAAGAGATCGGGCTTGACGTGATCTTTTCCATCTACAGACGTGGTTGAATAGCGCAGATGATTGGTGTTTCTATATAATTAGTTTAGTATGTGTTCGTTCTTGACTTTCGAGACCTCACCAATAGTACTGAAATCCCAGGAGATGGAGTTATTCTTATTTTATGCCTTTCCTTTCATAACCCCTTCTGCTCTCAGACCTTGAGTTTACTGCGTGGCACTATAAAAGTTAAAAAACAATTGTCTTGATCATTACAAATATATTAGGTCTTCGTAGTAGGCGAAACTTAACCACTACAGTGTTAACTTAAGCTACTACAGCTCGTTGAGCTTAGTGGTGTAAATATGTAAGTATGTGTCAAGTTACTTTTCTTAAGCACATTAGAATCTGTATTAACTGATATTTGTTTTTTGTAACTACTGCTCATTTAGTGTCGAGTCATAAATGTTCTTCATCCAGAAGACAATGCATTGATGAACTATTATGTTGCATTTTTGCATTAGATTCAATGAATTTTGCGTTAAATAAATGCAGTTCACCTCGTTTTTATTCAAAAACGAACGATGACTTAATAGTCAAGATATTGATATTCAACTATTGGGTTGTTTGTTTCTTTGGGGGACCGAGCATCATTATTAACTTCCCCCTTTTAATACTAGTTATATTTGTGTAACAAGTATACGTTTATGTACTCGGTGTTAGGGGACAGTTTGCTAGGACTGATAATACTGCCCAACCACCCCGACTGAAATGAGTCGAACAGTGTTCGAGCCTTTTTCCAGGAGTTAAAAGTTAACTGTCTGCTCTTAAATACTGAGCTGTGTAAATATACTTCCTTAAGAAAACCTGTTACTAAAACTAATCTTTTAGTACAACTACGATTCAGTTCACTCGTACTGTGTATCAGGGTAACTTTTATAGAATCTAGTCTTCAACTTCATATTTGATCTGAAGAGCTGTATTAGTAATATTTACTACTTTTCTGTTTAGGTCAAATCGTGATACCTTTTTATCGCGTTGCACAAACCTCGTTCAGTCCAAACCACCTGATGCAGTAGATTCACTTCTTGAGTTCATTCATTTGGAATCTTCGAATATTTCGATTTGCCTAGCATCACTTCAATTATAAAACAACATTTTGTAACCCTGTATCATAAAAAAATCATTTTAATATTATCTTGATTCGTAAATGTACTTTGGCCAAATGGGTTTGTTTACTTTCAGCTTGTAGGCACTTTAGTAATAATTTTTCAGTAAATATATACTTTACTATTTGTCGCAACCTAATTCATGAAATACTAAATGATTATAGCGATTAATTTATTTGGGGTTAAACAAAATGACTATGGCTGCTCGAAAAAGATCAGTCGTCAAATATTATGGATAGAACTGTGCTAGCGTGATGTAATTACAGTAAAAAGCCGTTACTCAGTTGCCGCTAAATCTTTTAATCAAGAAGTTTTGTTTCTCAAACACTCACTCGTCAAGTCTGGGAGTGATATACTGTTGTGTGACGTTTCTGAGGCTTCATTTCTTAGCCACAATATTTCTCGATCTCTCACCTGCTTTTTATATTTATCTATCTATACGCATGTGCCAGTTTCATCTACCTCCATCATTTTTGTCCCTTCAAATCAGATTTCGCTAACAAAAGTTAATTGTTCAAGAACGATTACAAAACGAAGCCTGATATCCTCGAATTATGAGGTACCTTTCTCTGGATAACATGCATTTACTCTTAGACTTTTTTGGGGACAATATCGACTTCTCAATCTCTCGCTATGTAAAGGTCATATTTACAGGCTTTCGGCCTTGAAGTTACCTGATAAGAAAGTAGTGATATTTCTTGTCATTAGGTTAGTGTGATCTAAACCCCTGTTTAAATTTCGTTTAGTTATTTTATGAGTGGTTTCAGACAATTATTCTACGACACGGTATCCATTTCACTAAGTAAATTACGTCGAACGTTTTGTCGCATTATTGATCAAGTTAGTTTATGACTACCAGTATTAGATTGGTATTCAGGCTGGTGATCAGTTCACACGGAAGCTATGAGTCTATGTTGCTTTCAGATACATATAGTTCCTCTTTTTTATAGCCACTTTAACGATAGCACAACGCACCGCGCGAACCACTAGATAATCGGTAGTAGTCACAGGCTATTCAAACTGCTTTCCTGGTATTGTATTTGGCTCAAAATAAATACTACAGAAGTAGCTAGTGTCATCACAATTTGGCCTCTTAAAAATGTTGTATGCATTCACGAAGTAAGATTAGTTCGGTACAGTGGTCTTGAGTGCTGCCACAGAATCTCGCGGTCTACGGGGTCAAGTACTGCTTTTAAGTCAAGCGAGACCACCATTACCGGACGCCGATAAGCATGCCTGTGTCATAGAACCTGAGTAGTGGTATGTGATCGATGCATACACGATCGGGTCTGTAGCCAACCTGATTT